TCCACCCACGGCTGCATCTCTTTCTTGCAACAATACACACCACACTGAGAAAAGACACACGGCTATGTGTATATAGACATTAGGTTTAGTTTTAGGCCACACCTACTCATAATAGGCCAAGTTAATGGGCTAATAATAACCAAATTCATACATTAACCAAGCTACCAACCCAACTCAAATTTAGGTCCTCCAACGGTGTATTAATTGTTTCCAAGTCAAGTCGTCACTTTGGTGTTGATAAAAAATAATCCGACAACTGTTTTAAATCGTTGCTCGAATTGATTGGGTATCAAAACCCAACATAAACTAAGTGTGTTCTACGCTGATTCCTTACGTGGAAAACTCTCAAATTCGAAAGGAAAGTTCATTTAAAATTTGAGGCAAAGTTGACTACTTTTTCCCCTCCATTGTCATAGAGTCTCTTCGTACATCTCTCCCGGGATCATTATGCAGGACATGTAGAGAAATAAGATCCAATTTAAGGCGAATTTCAGCATAAGATTTTTGTTTCTTAACTTTTTCATAGTCGTTAATAGATTGATCTTCAAGAAGTACAATATATCTTCTAACAAGCTTCTTCTTGTCAAGTGAATCCTGCAAGTAGAACACTTTTGACCATATCACAAAATTAAATGTTATATTGTCTTAATATCGAGTTTGAATCAACCAACTCCAAAGACTTGAATAATTATCGGAACCTAGTTTTTATTTATTTCAAGAAAATATTCACAAACCCATGATATCAAGTTTGTGAGTCAAAGTCAAGTTAAGGTTAATATCACGAATTAATGACAGTGTTAGGATTTTTGGCTTTAAAAATTGTATTTGTACACCGGAGTGTCAATCTTAGTGTATGTGTAGCAAAACTCAGTTTGGCTTGGGATGAGCTATGACAGTCAGTAGCTGGGGATTGGAGGCTTTTGAAGAAAATAAAAGAATTACTTATTTTATTCATGAACTCCGTTAAGAAAACGGAATCAAGTTTGTTTATGAAGGTTGGGGACTAAAAATCTTATTTTAAAGGTTGGAGATGATTATATTGAAAGATCTAAAGTTTAGGGACTAATTAACTAATAGTGTAAATTGCTAAGAAATCAACTTAGGCATCGTGAAAACTAATCTTAATCTTTTACCACTGAATCATAGCAACTTTATTGCAACTAAAGTAAGCTTTTTTATTATATTTATATTTTTAAATTTTAAGAAAAAGGAGGGGGGGGGGGGGGAGTTTGCCTAGATCCTCGATTAATATCTTAGCCTGCTAGACTGCAAAATTATTTCTGATGACAACTCTAACGCATGTGATAATGCTCTCTATGAAAATATATTTATCATTCACAAATGAATGCACAAGATATCCAAATACAGAAATGCTGTTTGTACAGTATTTATATGCTGTAAATTTTTACAGCCCATCTCATAAAGGTGGGGTCCGCGATTATTTGAGAGGGTTGTCCACAATACTATACATTGTGCTGTACATGTAATAGCTCTGATCCAAATAAGCCTTCAAATGAAGTATTTGTTGGCATTTGTCATTTTTGTACTAATGACAACGAACCAAATATCAAAAATGCATAAGAATGTATATGAGAACCTTCACAATCATGTTCTGCAATATTCCGGACACATTAAGGTTTTGAAGAAAGCAAAATTTTTAAATAGCGAAAGATGGAAGAAGAGCAATGTAAGAATTTCATAAATATCAAACAAGAAATCATCAATCTTATTTGTAGATTGTAAAACATTTCTTCCCAAGAGTTGCTTTACATTGGAGTCACAACAATTCGAAAAGTTAGATAAATAATTGAAGTTGGTGTAAAAAAAAAAAAAAAAAAAAAAAAAAAAAAAAATAAGGATTTAAACATCAGCTGGCAAAGCATGTGTTCTGATTCCAACATGGTCGACTGCCAGATAACCTGTTGCAGCCTCGACTTGGCCCACTTCGTCAGCCACTACTTAAGAGCCTTCCTCGTATGATTCATCGACCCTTGCAAACTCTTTAATGCATCTCACAATGTCGAAAACTATTCTATACATAAAAATGCCTTATTCGTTAATTCTATGTACAACTTATTTATAAATTTTGCACGAATATCAAATGTTCTTAACTTATATAAGATTATGAATTACGCACTTAATTAAAATGTGTTGACTATTTAATTCATGAAATTGTAAATTACACACATAAGAATAACAATAAATTAAACTTTATTCTCAATAAATTTAAAATCAACTATATAAACTTTAACAATTGTTTTCTATTCATTCTATGATCCATACCCAAAGCAATCATAAAATGTGAATTACACACATAAGTAGTTTATGTTATAAATAAATAAATGTGAATTACACTCATCAAGTTTTATTTTGGTTAGATAACTCTTTTCATCTTATAACATACTGCATTTCATTAATTTGCTCATGAATAGTGACTATTTCACTACCAGTCAACCACCAAGATCATTTTCTGAAATTTTGACCCTAGATTTCAATTTTCCTACTTTCACTTAATTCAAGAAATCAGCAAGCAACTGGTAATTCACAAATAAGAATGTTCCTACATAGGACTACCAAAAAAGGTTTCATAAGAATTAACTTTTGTAAATTCGCCTTTGTCATGATTAGGGATGGTATATTGGCTCGTCGACTCAAGCACCTCGTGGCTCGACTTGAAAAAAGCTCGAATCGGCCTGGCTTGAGTCTTAGGCTGAGCCCTATCTTGGGGTGCCGGGCTGAGCTCAAGCCAGCCCGTGTGGCTCATCGGACCAACTTGAGGAATAAAAAGGAATCAGCAGTGTCCAACTGCCTAATTTAAGGCAGCAATTAGACTGCGCATAGTTGCCTTAATTTAGGGAGCAACCTGTTGCCTTTTAAAAGCAGCTGTGCTGCCTATGTGGACCAAAAAAAAAAATAAAATGAAAAAAAGAATAACAAACTGGCTCGACTCAGCCTGGCTCAATAAGGCCAAAGCCGAAAGCTTGGGTCAAGCCAAAAGCTCTACTCTACTGGACCTAAAAAGTCCAACTTAATTTTACTCAAATCGAGCTCAAGTCTCGAGTTTCGACTCAACTCGACTTGTTGACACCCCCAGTCATAATCGATAAAATGGGCTCAAGCACTTTACTAGACGAACAGAGACCACAAGTTTCAAATCCTTAAACTACATCCTATGAGAGCACCTAAAAAGAGTTACCAGTGCATATCGATGAGAACTAGGCTTACAAAATGAAACCAAACTCAAAATGAAACCAAACTCAATTGCACATTTGGCCATTAATGCAAGTAGTCAAAACAAATTTGAGCACATATCTCATCCTGCATTTGGATCATTCCTTTGGATATCAAACGTACATACCCTTTTTGTAACTCATTGCCATATTCATGGTACAACATGAATGCTAAAGTAATACATACATTTGACCTCGGAGCACCCAAAAACAAAACAAATGCTCAAAATAAAAGACCCCTAAACTGCGAAAGTATAAATAACTGCTAGAAAAAGAAACGCAAAGAGATTGGACATAAACAACAGTGAACATCAAAACTCCACCACTTAAGCCAAGAAAATTGGGATCATTCCAAAGGATAAATGATGTGACGTAAAAACAAGCCCAAAGCCATTAGCCAGTCAGTAGAACAAGAGAATCTATAACTAAAAGACCCTCAGCTTTTAAACTGGATCTTATTCTCAAATCATGCTCATAATAGAGTTTGTAGACCACGGATGTTGTAAGGCGTACATATCTCAAGTGAGCCAAGAGGTTCACTCCAAATAACACAATCTGAGCCCACGTGAATAAAAACAAACATCTAAAACAAGCCCATATTTCGAACCAGTATTGCAGTAATTTTTTATCAGAAAAACCAATCATACCCAACAAGAAAGAACTGATGCTATATGGGAAAGAATTTACTTGGGCAGCTAAGCTCAACTAAGGTCATCTGCACAAAACGAACATAGACAACATTTGATCATCTGTAAAATGTCAACCGAGTGTTTCCTTCACTCTGCCACTATCTCTTTATTAGCTCTTCCAGGAAAATTTATCTGCAACAAGAAGCACAAACATACTCAACCATCTATAATTTCTCAGCTGACTGATTCCTCATCCTGCTACTTTTCTACCATAACCTCTTTCAGGAAGAATTTCTTTGTGTCGTCCAAAGGACAAATCAGATTGCGTATGCCCTCCTCCAGCCTTCGTAGGAAGAGGCACCAACTGCTTTACAGGTGGTCTACCGGAGCTTACTTTCATGTTTGCTAACTTATTGGACACATCAGAAACTCCGCGTGTCTTTCCCAAGAAGCTGGCTGCTGAACCAAAAATGGTAATCATTTATTAAACAAGATAAGAGAGTTCAAACCAATTAACAGGAAATGCTAATCCAACATGAGAACGAGAAAATGTTCTACACAACTGTACTAATTTAAAACATTTAATAACACCCTTCTAGGACATCTGGTCAACATAGATATGTGCATGCATTCAACAGAAAGTTATACAAACCCTAAGTGAAGTGAAATAATTAAATCTTATGAGTCACAAATGTTCTTGACTACTTTCAAGGACTAATAGAGAAAATCATCAAACTGCATCAAAGATTACTTATCATCTCAACCAATTGAGATACCCGAATATGTAATTTATCACAATAGTCGACGCTACTAATTTACCTATACAAAAGACTAAACTCGGAAAAGTGAATTAGAGATAAAAACTACAATAGTGAAATCAAAAGAAAACTAAACTGCATTCCTTCAAATAGCCAAATTGAAAAAAGCAATTGAAGAAAAGGAATATTAATTAATTGGTACATCATACTACCTGGTCCATTCATTGCAGGCGACCAATGTCTCGGCTGTGGCTTCACATTGCTCTTCAAGGTCTTGTCATTCTTTCTCACATCCTGAGCCACATTAATAGGACAAAGAGAACAAGAAAAAAAATTAAGAAAGTAATAAGAAAAAAGATACTACAATATAGTTAAAAACAAAATACCCTGTGCCTGGAAGCACATTACATTCAGGTATAAAATGTCAATCTGACTAACCTGCTTATTCATGTCCAGCTTCCTCTGTACACCTGTAAAAGAAAATATGATTAAAAAGACAGTTCGACTCGAGCCCTTGTGCATGTTTGTTCACTACAATAATAGCTATGAGGTCCAGCAACAGTGGCTACATATTCAGACAAACGCAGTCACACACAGAGGAGGAGGGAGGAGGGTGTGCGTGTTATTTACAACCTTTTAAAAATAACAATCACAGAACAAATATTAATCACCAAAGATAACAAATATCATATCATAATATCGCACCTGCATTCAAAGATGTGTGTGATTTAACAGAGCAGTTGTTCAAGGGTCTTGGGTTTGATAAAGCCCCTGCATATCTTCTACCACATTTTTGTTCCAAAGCTCCCCTCATGCCATCTGCAAAAAGGTCAATGATCTGTTACCTAAATACTCAAATCAAAGAGAAGATTAAAAATTTAAAATATGTGTCTAGGACAAACCAGACGGAGGTGTTCTAGCAACAGCAGTTTTACAGTGTAATGCTGGTGGAAGATGGAAGCAACTCTGCATCAAAAAAAGAAACTATTATTCACATCTAAGAAAATTCCATGCTCAAGAAAGCGACCTTGTTATGGGAAAAAGTTGCTACCTGGAAGAAGGGATGTTGAAGGGCCTCCAAGGCTGTTGGCCTCTTGCAAGGATCCCACGAACAAAGCGACTGCATTAGACGATAGGAGAGCATTGAAACTCAAAAGAGAGAACTTAATATAATCAAAGAAGCCTCCAGATTTGGAGCTTTAAATCAGGGCATACGAAAGTCATAATGTGTATGCATTCATGTATGTGAAAAGGGGGGGAGCAAGAACTGTAACCAGCAAGCATCACTTACTCCAATAAGATTAACTGCATCCTCGATAACACATGGTATTACCGAAGAAAGAGGTACGCTAGCAACCTGCCATATCAATAACATGTAGACAAGTAGATGAGTTATCAGTTTAAATATCTAAAAATTCAATCGACAACGTTGAACAAACTATAAAAGTTCATACTTGAGGCCCAATTATACATCAGTAAAATGTGTTACAAAAAAATTTCCAAAGAGAAGTTGACGTTCATGGAAGTGGAACGAGGAGGAGGAGAGAGAAGCAACGTAGAGAGGAAATTGTAGTTTATTCCATAATCACAATCTAACTATTACTATACATAGATCCTCTTTACATAGAGTTTAAACCGACATAATTTAAGTAGGAAAACAACTATAGGTATAAAATAAAACAGATAATTGTGATTTTACACTTATTTGGGCCACCGGTGGGCGTTTGGAAGTACTTTTATTGTTTAGATACTTAATTTTGTGCGTTTATCGATTATTTTTTAGAAACCCCAGTATTGGACAAGAACGGCTAAAAGGGAACAAGATTTTATGAAAAATGATTGAATTTGGAAATTCTAAAATTCGAGGACCAAAGTATCAAGTTTGGAGGTTCAAAGGTCTAAAATAGAGTTTGGGCATGGTCCAATTCGGTTTGATTCGGTTTGGTTCTATCCGAAATTTTCGAGTATATAGTAAGTGAAACCATCGGATCCAAATTTAATTATGGAACTGTTCAGGTTCAATTCCATTTGACTTGGTTCGGTTCGGTTCTCAGGTTCCGTACTATAATATAATTTTTTTATATTTACAAACCTACATTAATTCAACTAATGACATATTCATTCTTAACTCTTACAAAATAATATAGTCCAATTTTATGTGTCTTTTACATCTTTTTTTGGTGAGTTTTTTCATAAATTTAATTGTTAAATCACAAAAAGAGGAAGATAACGAACGTACAATAATTAGGAGAGGTGTTGTCGAGTTTTAATTCAATTTCTCTAGGACGATAGAAACGACACTATGGTAGAATAACAGATTTGGATAAAATTTAGGTCAATTTGATTAAATTTGGCTTGGATTGAAAATTAGAAATAGAAAAATCATATTTTTGGTTTTGAGCTAAATTAACTAGTTAGCAAATTTATTTTAAAAAATAAAAAAATTTGGCTTGTTTAAAAAAAATTAGTTAAAAACATTAGGCCAATTTGATTCTTATTCGATTCTTCGGTTCTTAATTTAGAATCGAGATCCGAACCAAATTCGTTCAATTGAAATACCCGTTCGGTATTTAACTTAAGAAAAACAGTTCGGTTCGACTTAGTTCGATTCAGGTCTAGTTTGGTTGGTTCGAGATTTTTGTCCAGCCATAATCTAAAATGCAATATAGGACTTTAGGTGAGCAAATAATGGAATTGAGGAACCAAATTGCAAATGAATGAAAGATGTTTAACGTTGCAATCGCAACGTTCCAATTATTTGCGTCTCAAGGAAGCAAAATTGGAATTACATTAACCAAACCTGAAGAACCATGCGAATGGTGGAACACCTTGAAAAAATTCTTCTTCCCTACTTTTAATCAACTTTTGATTTTTTATTTTTTTTTCACTTAAGGCTCAATTTTAGACCCAATGAGATGTCTATAAATACAATTTTTTCAATTTTTTCAAAGGAGGACTTATTCTTGAGGCAAATTACATAGATTCACACATAACAATATTTGTAGACTTATTTAGGATTTGAGGACATTCAATTTCTCGAAAGATCTACAATTATCAAGGAAGAGGTTAATGATCCATTATTGCGATTCGTGTAGTGAAGATCAACAATAGCTTCAAGTTCTTTTCTTAGTTCGTCATAGTTGAACCTAGCGATTTGTTATCCTTTATTTGTTTAATTCTGCAATTATGAACGGCTAGATAATTTATTTTTAGATTGAACGATGTAGTTTAAGTTTTAATGTTTATAATTAATACAAAAGGCTCCATGCAAATCTGATTATATGTTAATTGTTGATCACCAATTGATGAATTTAGGGACAATATTGAGATCAAGAGTATATATATTTGTCTAACTAATGCAATAAGTGAAATCAATTTCAATAAGAAATCAAGAGGTACTCTTATAGGTTATGCACTCTTTACTAAATTCTTGTGCATTATGCTTTTATATGCATATGAATTTACATAAAGATATAGCAAATAGTTAATTTGGGTATGAGATAGGACTAGAGCCTGTCTGATTTGGATTAAAATCTGATTTTAATTTAAGTCAAAATCAAACAATCAATATTAACAACATTTTTCATGCGTCCCATAACTTTTCAATCACAGATTTCAAAAACTTCGATCACAGTCGACTAAAAATCTAATTTTAATCTCCACCAAATACCTTCCTAGTTTTACTCAAGAGAAATCATTAACTAAAACAGGTTAATTTGATTGTTAAAAACACGTGACAAGGGACTGAATAATATTGAATTAGGTGAATGTTAATTGACCTAAGTGAAATCAAAATTCCAAACTACATAATCCCATAAATTCTTTCAAAAGTCTTCACGCATTGATTAAATTTGATAGATTTAGTGTAGCTATAGTTTTATTATAAATTCTTGATTCATTCTTTGGTTACCACATTAAGCTCTCGTTTGGACTCCATTTTAATGAGGTTTTGGGGAAAATGTATTTTGGAATAGTAAATTTTTTTAAGAATGTGTGGATAAAAAAGAGAGAATTTTTTTTTTGTTTATGTGTAATATTATTTTATTGAAAAATGTATAGTTAAAAAAAGAAGAGAGATAAATCATTTGAGTCCAAACAGGGGCTAATTTAATTTGAAGCTAGGTTTAGGATAGAAATTGATAGTAGGCAAATAGTCTTTGTGGGACAACGCTTAAAAGTTCATTTTATTACTTGTTACAGTATGTACATATGCAGTTTACGTGAACAAAAAACCCTAATTCTAGACAAACTAGAAATCTAAATTAAACCATATTTAATTCCTAATCTAATAAGATGTTTTTTATGCTTAACTTCATTCCCCATCATAAGTATATTCTTCCAACCTTCGAACAAGGCAAGACGTCAAATTTAAATGGCTAAAGTGAAACCAACAAGCTTATAGAAGTTCAAAATATTAACGCTAGAGGCCATTTAAAGAAAAAGATGGGGGGGGGGGGGGGGGGGGGGGGGGGGGGATTTCTTTCATCCTCAATAAACATTTCCCTTCATCTCACTAGAATAGATATATAGTTATATACTCCAAATATCAAATTTAGATGTCTAAAGCTCAACCAAAAATCATATAGAAGTTCAAAACATTAACGCTAGAGGCCATTTATATCATTAGCAAGAGCAAAATATATTATTCGGAAGAGAAGCAAAATAAATTCTTTCAACCTCAATAAACATATCTCTTCATCTCACTAGAATAGTTATATAGTAATACGCTCCAAGAGTCACCTTGTTAAACTACTATTTTTCACTTTCTTTGATTTTATATTTTTGAAGCGAGTAAGGCTAAATAGAACTCCCGAATCGAACCAAGCCACGAATCGAACCAAGCGATTCTTCTCGGTTATAAACTAAGAAACGAAGAACCGACTCTCCCTAATTTTTTATCTTAAATAAACCAAATTATTTTACTTTTTCCTAAATAATTTGCTAACTAATTAATTTAGACCAAACAGAAAATATAATTTTCCTATTTTTAATTTTTAGCTCAAACCCAACTTAATTAAATTGACCTAAATTTTACCCAAATCTCTTATTCTATCGTAATATCGTTTCAGCCGTTCTGAAGAAATCAAATTGGAAGCTCGCTGTGCCTCTCTTCATTATTGTAAGCTCGACAATCTTTCTCTTCCTATGGTTTTAATAATCATATCTATGAAGAGCTCAACAAAAAGATACACAAAGGAAATCGAGAGATTAGACTAAGTTATTTTGTAAAAACTAAATTAAACATGTTATTAGTTAGATCAATGTAGCGTTTTTGTAAATGTTAAAAAATTTAATTATTGCACGTAGCCCGAGAACCGAATGGAGCCGAATCGAACAAAACAGAATCGGAAAGGTTCCATAATTAAATTTGATTGTTCCATTTACTAATTACTCTAAAATTTGAGTAAAACCGAACCGGACCATGTCCAGCCTTATATAAGAGAGGAGGTAGCAAAGTGAAAATCACCTAAAAAATGTTATTAATAAATATTTCATCATTTTCTCCATAAAAAGAAGTAGCTCACTTGTGGAAACTGGTAGTTGATGGCATTAGCAAGTTCAAGTCCCTCAGGCCATTCACTCTTCGTTGGGCTTCCTATTACACAGCATATCTTATAAATCTCATCTGCTTCACTACAGTAAAAGAAAAAAAAATGCTCATAAGATATACTCAACAACATTAAAAAATGTATATAAATTAAAAAGAAGCTGAAAAAACCTCCTCAAAATATGTATAAGAGAAAAAATTGGGAATAAAAGCTAAGAAGAAATCATTGATGATAGTATATAGTTGGAAATGTCATACAAATTATACTCTACAGTCCACATTTTTCTTTAGCTCAATAGGGATGAAGGCAAACCACACTAAAACCAAGCCACACAAACTGAAAGTTGTTCGTGACCATATAAGGTGCAAATTGACTAATGTGAAAAATCTGATACTTTATCTTGTCAGGAAAAAAAAAAAATCACCCTTCAACCAATGTCATTTCAAAAAAAAAAGCAACGAGGATGATCTTACTTAAAGAGGATGAGTATACCTGGAGCCTGGAAATAAAGGACGTAGAGTAAACAATTCAGCCATTATTGCACCCATTGCCCACATGTCTGGTGTTGCAAAAACAAATAGATTATAGTCAAGAAAAAACATGAAAAAACTTCTCAAAGACACAATTCTGTTTTCATTATCTACTCACCAACTGCAGGACCATACATTTGTGACTGAAGAAGAACTTCAGGGGCCCTGTACCTGCAAGTAATAATATAGCAAATCCATATAAAAAACACGTATCACATCAGAAGTAACTACTAGCTACCCCAGGAGATAACCACCCACCAGCGTGTTGAGACATATTCAGTGAATGGAGGTTGAGAATTGATCTCACGAGCAAGACCAAAATCAGCGATTTTTATAACATCCTTAGAAACCAGCAAGTTCTCTGTACAATCATAAACCAAAAATGTACATGTCATGGATGATATGAAATGATCAAAATGCTCAAAGCAAATAATCAAACTTCACAAATAAAATAAAAGCAGGAAGTCAATAAAACGATCTCTGGATAATACTAAACCGTGAACAATTTAACACGTGCAATATACTGCCCCAAGTCTTAATTATCACCTATTCAACATGTTCACCTACTTATAGTTTTATAAAGTTCCCGGGCCATACGTTTTGAGGTGCTCCTCATGTAAGACTTTCTTCGAACACCTTGCAAGGATTACGCCTCAACTTATGAGATGTACACCTTAAGGACGTAGCGCAACCAAGGTGCACGCTCATTTTTGTTGCCTTTCCTGAGTTTTGAAATTATTGTCTCAGCTTTTAGGTTGCCTTCTTTTAATCCTGTGAAGAGATTTGAAGCTAGTATACCATACAACCAAACCCAAAAAACTAGGAAAAAAGTATTGGAGAAGCAAGAAGCAAGTGTCCCCTAATCTCCAACAATAAGTGAAATAAACCCCTATTCTCAAGTGAGTCGCCAATTTCATCACACGACCGTTGAAAAGAGACGTTAGAGACCAACCCACTTTTTCCTTTCTTTTTCTTTTTTCCTTGTCTCTACGTCTTTGTTTCATTCCCCCCCCCTAAAGATGGTTTATGGTTTATCACAACATGTTCAGAATCTTTATATTTTTTACATATTTTATTATAGTGTGGAGACTTTCGACTCAAAAAGCCTCAAGCATTTACTACTCACTTCACAGATATAGCAAGCTGGTAAAACTCATAAAATGGCTACAGGAAGGAGCCCCCCCCCCCCTCCCAACCCCCAAAAAGCACCATCCAAAAAAAGAGTCAGAGGCATTGTCAATAATCACCTGGCTTGAGGTCACGATGAAAGTACCCATGTCGATGCATGTATGCTAAACCTTGAAACACTTGGAAACACCAATTTTTGACTTCAGCTTCGGAAAAAAGTTTGCTTCTGTCCTTCATAAGCTGGTAGAGATTGCACTCCTGAAATTATGATGCAACATATATGTTTATATGTGATTAACATGTAAAAAAGCGATAGATATCTACATATAGGAAAGCAATTTGTACCATGTGCTCAAAGACAAAGTACAAGATGTCATTTTCTCTAATAACTTCCTTGAGCTTCACTATATTTGGATTCTTCATTTTCCGGAGTGACTGCGAAGAACGACAATATTTTGTTAGCTGTTCATTAATAGAAGGCCAAACCAGTCAACAGGTAAGCAAGCTGCGTCACCTTTACTTCTCTCAAATTTATACATTCTTCCCATGAATAATATTTCTTTTTCATTTTTTTTATTGCAACCTGCAAACTCAGATTATTAGTTTGAAATGGCAAATTCAGATGGGAAAAACTTTTCCTGCACAATATTTTTATCTTCAGGGTCGAGAAAAAATTCAATAAAAATCCACAGCCATCTGAAACAAAACCAAAGAAAACATACCACTTCACCAGATTGCTTATTTATAGCTCGCCAGACATTTCCAAATGTACCATTACCAACTTCCTTAATAATCTTATACCTGCATTAGCCATCATAATAATCAACTTGGGAGGACGATGGGAAGCTAACTTGAACCTTGAGAAGCAGTTATAAGCCAACAAACCTCTCCATTTTTGTGATTTCAACTTCTTGTGATACTTTATTTGTTCGGAAGCGAGTATACATGAAAAAGAGATACTAAAATTTTTATATTTAACGGCTTGTGAAAGAAAACTACAAAAGGGCCTGGCTGATTCAGCAAAGTCCACATTAATTATCTGCTGTACTGCACATCCATGCAAAACCAGTATGATTATGAATGATGGGCTTCACAGCTTTATCCGTCAACTGTAGGAAATCAAACATCCAACAATGGCAAGGCAGAAATGGCAAGGGAAGATGGGAACCACAGAGCATCTTGACACTTGTCCAAACTGACAGAACACAATTTTCTCAAAGTGGTATAACTCTTAGCTCAAGAAACTGTACAGCTTCCAGACTCAGTAACAAATCAAATGCAGAAATACTAGGAATCTGATGCAAATCTTCAGATGACTGAACCTTACCACTTGTGACAAACCATCATTGTGGAGAAAAGTCAAATAACGATATAAACAACAACTCTGCACAAATACAGTGCTGTCAAACAGCTACTAATTTCCAACAAACAATTTTCCTTTGTCTACTTGCCGAATTCAGCCCTGTGGTCGAAAAAGGAAAAAGTGAATTAACAGATACAAGAGCATCATCTCAAAAACATGCAAAGATAGTTGGTGGTGAGAAATAGCAACTAAAGAAATTACCTCACAAAATCATTTTCAAAGGATCTCAAATGGATGTTGTACCAGCAATGCACTAGCAACAAAAAAATTGCAAGAGAAGACTAACAGCAGTTGCATTTTACATCATAACCATCATTTAAAATAAACCAAGGCATGCAGCACAAGTCTACACATTCACAAAAGATCCAACATCCTTCTTAGGAAGAATGTTTTGACCTCCTGTACTTATTATTTAAGGAAAGCTGTTCATTAAGTGCAATTGACAAAGGAAACAAGAGGAAAATCTCCAAGGATGATAAACCGCCAATTAAGAACTTTCTGTAACGAAAATATCTGCTGATGGTAGCAATCCAACCAGAGACACACTGGCTCCATGACGTAAATAATATCAATCCCTTCTAATGGTTATCTGACACAACCTGACAGCACAAATTAATTATTTTAATACGTAAACAATACTTTAAGAGAAAAAACAGAACTCATATCCAGAGGAGGGCACCTAAAAATCTGGGCAGGGCTATCATGTAAAAAATTTAACTATTGGAAAAAAATTGGACTTGAGACCAGGGAAGCTCCCCCCCCCCCCCCCCGGGCCCCTGCTCACATCAAACTCTATATTTCAATAAAGAAACTCAACATATATGCAGTCTGACATGATGATAACCTCACAAACTAAACCAATTTCAGAAACCAGAAAAAGAACATAAACCCTGTCATGCAACAAGTAAAATACCATAAAAATTGAATTGCTTTATTGACTCATTTAACTGTTGAAGGCAAATTAACCTTATTTCTCTATCCCGAGAACTCAACAACCATTTCAATAATACATCAAAAAAAAAAATCCACATAACAAGAGTAGGCACCAAATGTATTATATTAGTAGATAAAATGTGAAAATGTGATCATTCATATTTCAAAGGTAAAACACGCAATAAGTTATACATTCATGGGTATTCATTTTCTGATTTTCACAGCAGAAGATTCCATTCTAAACTATGTTGATCAATACAACTCTCAGCTTAAGGCATCTCCAAAAGATCATTTCCCTACATATTCAGTAACATAATACCTACAAAATTCCTCCCTCCATTACACACACACACACAAAAATTTATAGTCAAATTAACCAAAAACTCAACCAGGTAGCCTAGAATCATAAATACTCCAAAAAAATGCAAATTCTAACACAATAAAAATTCTAAATATGAACCGTTAACCCTAATTAAAATTTCAAAATCAAAAAGAAGAAAAAATTCATTCTGAAACTTAAAATTAGTCGGGATTAAGGGAGAAACGGCCAGTATTACATAAACCATGAATTCCTAATCAAAATCTAAATTCAAAAAGGCCAAAACAATTAAAAATGCAGAAATTATGATGCAAAAACAAACCCACCCGAAATTTCAAAAACCAAACACAATGCTTGATCCTTTTATATGAACACAATACCCACATCAATCAAATATCTACACCAACAATTCAAACAAATATGTACCTGAAGGATCACTAAATATCCAGACCAGCCAAAATCAAAACATCTATCCCCATTCCCCAAGCAATACAAACAAATACATAGAGATATACCTTCGGGATAAAAGAGCATAAGCTAAGCAGAAGAAACCTAGAGATGCCACTATTTCTCTCCGTTCCTTCCTTCCTTCTCCTATTGTAGGTCTCGTTATGAGCTTTTACATCTCGTAGCCACCGCCCTATATATCTGGGCTATGACGTGGCTTGGTACCTCTCATGATGGAATCTTGTCTTCGTGTGCAAGCAAGAAACGACAAAGGCAGGGCCGTAAAATGTAATTTTCTGACCTTTTTCCATGTGCTTGTGCTTGCGGTTATCCATGTATTTGCGTCAATTCCTAAATTTTTATGAGTGTGACAGTCATGTCCCCAATCTTCTATTTGTGACACTCATCTTTCCAACCTTTTACATTGTTCCAGAAAAAAACACGCATTTAGACGTTAACATTTTCAATAAAGTGAAACTTATAATAGATTTTTTTTTTTTGTTAACAAGGGAATCCGCAGCCGCTACCCAAAGGTGCGCACCAGGTAAACCTCGCCTTGTGATAATGGAAAATTATAATAGAACTTATATTGACATTGATGTGACAAAGCATGATTGAACTTTTTTTTCAATTTTTTTAATCTTCCAATGATGTCACGCCAAATATTATCTGTAAAATTTTTCTGTCAAAAAAATTTGTACTTATAGCATTGTTCTAACGTTTTTGGCAATACGCATTTGATATCTAAGTGAAAGGGTAAATTTGCTTCATAATTTAATGTATATATAGACAATTTTTTTTTTATAACTCAGGTGTTCAAACTTCACTGACTAATTCTGAGGAGTAACGATCTTCCCCCTAATTCGCCATCTAGGTAAATTCGGATACGGTCACAATTTATACACACTTTGATCGGATATTTAGGATGCGATTCTCCTCTTTGTAGACCTCCCTTTACGTATATATAAACAATTTTGATCAGGTTGGATGTGGTCCATGCACTGTTAAAACATTAAGGAGATCACTTTTCCACTTGAAGGAATTTACCATATTTATTTTGGTGGATTTATATATCTCAATTGTCACTAAATTTTTTCAATTTTTTTTTTTTTTTCAATTGGCATTGAACTTTAAAAATTTTTCGAGTCATCATCAGACTTTTTCCAAATGTTTTTCAAGTTGTTGCTGAATTTTAAAAGTTCTTTGAGTTGTAACTAAACTTACTAAATTGTTATCACATATGGCATCATGCTACTCGCTATCTAAAAGTAAAAAAACTTAATGAACTTATGAGAATGTTATCGTATTTGTCATTCAATTTAGCATGACGACTAGTTTGTTAACTTTCAAACATTTTGATAGGTTCGATGACAACTTGAAGAAATTTTAAAGTTCGATGACAATTGAAATATATTTGAAAATTTTTAATAACAACTCAAAAAAATATTAAAATTTAATGACAATTGAAACTATATACGCAAGATCAAATCATTGAAATATTTGACCCTATTATGGGTCGAGTTATGCTATATATACAAAGTTGGTTTATAAAATTGATTGACAAAATAATATTTACACCAATCATTTTAAAAATAGATTTTTAAATTATTAAAAATTAATTGTCTGAATTTTGTCAACACTTATTTTGTTAACCAAATTTGTAAACACACGATAGCATAATGCATTATGGGTCACCTTTGATTTGAAGTATAATCATTTTTAATTTATTCCCTAATATTTAATAACTAAAACAATGGTCATGACTTGACAAATGAGTTGGATTAGTCAAAATAAAACATGCGCTGTTCTATCTGTTTATATTTTATTTCACTCACGACATGATTCAACTGAGAAATCTGTTTACCTTTGGACCTCTCAAGCATTCTTTGAAAATAATAATAATAAAAATAAAAATAAATAGTAGTTTTTTAAACAAATTTAAATGATTGATGAGAAGTGAATAATAGTTAGTTATCATTTGACTCTCTTAGAATAAATAAATAAATAAAACTCTTTATTTTTCATATTCATTTTCAATCACACATTCGCATGATATAATATTTTGCGTTTTTATTTTCGATTTTCTATTTTGAGGGATTATTTTAAGATTGCAGAAAATGTGTTTGATTTGTCATTTTGAAAAAACGATTTCTCAAAACAAAAAAATTAGAAAGCTCGTTTGATTTAAAAATTTTAAAAATAGTTTTATTACATTTTGGAGAAATTTTGGGGGGGGGGGGGGGGAGGAGGTGGGGGGG